ATCAGGTAAATACGTCTTTACATTGCGAATGCCAAATTGTTTTACATGCTCGAAAATATAAAACGTTCTGGGCTATACGCTTTACAGAAGTTGTTAAAAACAAAATTAATTAGCCAACATAAAAATTGAAAAATCAAGGCAGGTCTGAGGCTGTCTCGAGAGTTGAAAATAATTAACGGTCGGATGGGAAGACTGACTTTTTAAAATGTATTTCACTGCATACCGAATGCAAGCAGAAACAATATTTGCATGTCTACTAGTAACAGGCCTATAAATGTCTTAATTGGTAATTACAATAAAGTGAAATGAAAGTAAGTTTATATATTTTACTATTAAGCCTAACTCTTTAAAGCCTAGTGGTATTTAGATGTACAACTTGCTTTAATAATCAGCAAACCTGCGTTTTGTATCTGTGGGTTTCGTACGATTGTCACTGTAAACATGGATTATTTTCTTAAACAACGTTAACAAGTCATTTTTTGTATTAGATCAGCTCCGGCCTTAAAAAGTTAATTACTCTAAAGAGCAACAGATATGACCAGCACTACTGAGAAATATCGACAAATCCACGTTAACGTGCAGACTTATTTTCATTAAAGCAATCACAGATCTTTGAATGTAACTATTAACTGACAAGTTTAATTTTATTGTCTTACCCCCACGAACGTTAGACTGCAAAATGCGCTGCCTTGATGAAAACAAAACGGATGAATAAGTACGTCAATAAATGATAATTTACAATGCAAATATACTAACACGCAGGTAAGCATTTTTGCAATTTTTTCGAGAAACAAAACAACTGTATGAAAGTAATGACAAGTGTTGCTCTAACCTGCTTATGGAGGTCCTCTTCAGTACTGCGTCTCTCCTTCACACACTAGTTCACTGGATTCTGTGGCCAGTCTGACGTTTATAAAATATCACTGTAGTAAGTCTTACAGGCATTTACATCCAACGCAGCAACCACTACGAAGTCAAATATCCCGTTTCTGTTTTTTTCACACTGGTCTGTAATGTAATTACGATTTCATTTATAACATGTTTATAAAAGCAATTCACAATTTAATCGTCAAGGCGGAGATGTAAATTTTACTTAAATTATAATAAAGTCTCACTAAACGTAAGTAAGTCCCTTTGTACCAACAGCTTCTCGCACCATGATCTTAGTGTTCTCCACAAACGTGTTATCAATCCTAGTATTTCTGCTTTACAATTGTGAAATAAAATGTATTGCTAGATAAACAAACGCTTATTTTGCAAAGCGTAAAGTAGACAACTGTTTAAAAGCAAAGAACGAAAGACTGTTTTGTGATTAACTATACAAAGGTAAATATCCCGAAAAAATATAAACTGAATTGCGTGTGAAAATTCTGAAGATAGTCATTTCGAGAGCTTCGGTTTAATAAATAACGCGTACATTTGATACAGTGCCGTTATATCTGTACCACTTGCAATCTTGTTATTTTCTCCCTTCACAGTGATTTGCTTAAACAAGGACTTAATATAAGGGAATCGTTTTGAAGTCAGGTGTGCGACAAGCCAGTTTTCAGAAGTCTGTAACTTGTGGTTCAGTCTCACTTCTGGCATTTTTATAACTGTATTACAATTAGTCCATTTCTTTATACTCACATAACAACAGCAGCAACTGTAATAAATTGTACAGTTAAGATACGTATTTCCATTTCTTCAACTAACAGCATCATGTCGATAAGATTAGAGAGGCCTGTATCAAAACATCGATGCTTACTGGTCGAGCGTTAACACGCGGTCCATATGTATCTGGACGGCCTGCATTAGTGGCTATAAATAGAAAGAAGGAACAATGAATGAGGAGCAGGAAGAAAAAGTTATGGTTCATTCACAAATAAAACAAAGTGTTGACCTTTTTGTTACAAAACCAAAACATACTTGGTTTATAATTTCCTCTATGCCAATGTCTTTGGTAAATAACATGTAATAACATTTATACAATAAAATCCACAAATATGTTTAGCGTACAAGACCGGTTGCTGACGTTTATACACTGGGTGACTATAATACATTTATAAAGTGTCATTTGTGTTTCCCACGTTTTACTGGAACTTAGTGACTATTGTGATAGGACTAGAACAAGGAAAAGGCCTCCGAGATAAGAACGGCTTGACAGAGGGACGCAATCATAAAGAAACTGGGAACTGCCGTCGTGAATGGAGACCAAGTTGAACCGAACTGAAACTTTGGCCAAGAGCAGTCAGTTAAGCTTAGTACCAACATTTGACCCGAGCGAATTGCTTCTGGATATATTCGCCCATGAACAAAACGCCAAAATACATAAGTTTCTTTTGATTCAATTTACTAACGTTCGGAGGCTGCACTTAAAGTCGTAACGTATACAACTGAATTATACTAAAGTTTATTTAAATCCTACTCAATTATTCCATTCATTCGACAAACTCGTTGCCCAGTTCCTTAACAATTCCGTTCCCACCAGCATTTACTTGAACAGCAGCAGCGGACATCACACAGAAACTTGCACGTCCAAGACACATGGTGGCCTTTTCGGGAATTTGAAGACTGGGTGCAAGTAAGCGCATCTTATTCACTTCCGATGTTCATTCCGCTGTACGATGTTCCAAACTTAATTTCAACGAAAACCTAACGCAGTGCGGCACAAGAAACAAACACGTCGAAATATCATTCACACTTTATGCATAAACAGTAGGCAATTTCCGCTGATAGTTACTAAATTCCACTGCATATTATTTGTCACAATATGCAGGGAAGAGAATGATTCAGATTTATAATATCATAGTTGATAATAATGTCCTTCTTACTTCGGGATTTGATTTCAGTTTGCTTAAGAGACTTGTTCCGGGACGTTTTTGCTGACATTTTGCTTGAGTCTGCTTCACAAAACTGTCATTGCTTTCAACTTCAAATCTTGATTGGAGTACATTTGAAAAAAGTTTTTTCGTTAAGATACAAGTTAACTCCTGGTTGCAGATTTTTTCTAGGCTTTAATTTTTCGCGTACGTAATGAATCATGTGTATGTTCAGATCCTTAACTGTTACGCAATCGGCAGATCCACTTACTTACACCAGAGGGAATGGGTTGACAAGTTGGTACAGAAAAGGACTCTTATTAGTCGCATACAAGAAAACACCACAACCCTTCAAGAACAATTACCTTACATAACTAAGTACTTATGTGTATGTACATTAATAACAGTCTAAAAATTATAAGAGATGAAAACATCACATGAGGGGAAACAGTTACTTTATACTAATGATTGCGGTAGCGGAAAAACAAATCACAACGCTATGCGAAATGCGCAAAGCGAAGCTTCGACCCCCTCAATGAGTACAGATTTTATGAGATCGTGAGTAACAATGAGTATTACAATGAACAAGGAACTCAGGACAACACTGACGGTGATTGGTGAACAACCTACCAATCCTCTCCTCCGTTGTTGATTGAGAAAACTGCTTATGTTTGAGAGTTCTTTTGAATCTTCGAGGCACAAAGTTCACACCACGGACCCCTACTGCACCCCCAAATCGATCACTGACTAGAGACGGCGTGTCTCAGAGGGCACTGACTAGTTTTCACCACAGAGTTTCTACCTGCCGTATTTATTCAACGCTGTCGCCCAATTATATATTTTTTTCTTTATTTGTTCGTGACAAGTCCTTCATGACTTACTGAAAAAATTGATATACTTATGATACCCTGGTGTCTCGTCTATACGTTTGGTTGATGCAGATGTTACCGCGCGTGCGTGAGCTCATCACCGACAACCACGGTTTATCAACTGTTTACCAAACACACAGGAAGGAGACGACAAAAATTTAAACTTTCACAGTCATAGTGCGCGGCGGTGTGAAGAATCGCCAGGTAGTCCGAGGTACTTGAGTAACCGCTGGCCTCTTCCTGGACAATTCTTCATTCTACCCTGTTAAGCACTTATTCGTAATATAGCTGTCTGTATTCACTGCCATAGCAGCATGACAAAAAGCTGGCGTATATTCAGACAAATAAATTTATTTTTGTTGTGAATGAAACCAGTATTGGCTTTAGAATGTTTTGGCAAATTGTAGAAATAATACTACAAACACTGCTTACTTTGTTTTTAACATTCTTTTTCCTGGAATACCTACAGAACGTTATTGCTCAGTATTAAGATACGAGAAAAGAAGATTATTTTCACACCCATTCAGTTATAAGTAGGCAAGTTCTCGGGCGCTCACAATTACGACGTTCAAAAACAAAGAAAAGTCACCTGTATATATACATATGTGTGTGTGTGTGTGTGTAGGCCTATGTTTTGTATAGCAGAATTAGACCGTAAATTGCCTTGGTGTTTTTCTGCAATCTAACGGTATCAAATAATTCAATTAATTTGAGCAGTTAAAATACAATTAAAATATAAATAAATTAACAAATAGTAAAATTAAATTAACTGTGCATGCTATGTATAGATCATAAAATAATCACGTTAAAGATATGAATATGCTCATAACAAAGTCGACATAAACCACGTATTTGACTGAATAAAACAACTTTTACACCGAGACCAGTAAAGTGCCAGGTCAGAAGTGAAACCCCTAACTTAGGACCGACGGTTTATTAATGTGGTCACCGCTATGAAGCAATGATGAAATGATGGTTAAGAAGGACGTTGAAATTCTTCTCTCACGCTTGTTATTACCAAAATCAAATTATATTTTAAAATTATAAAACATAACTAATTAATGAAACATAAATTAACCTTTATTACAATTAATTATTTAGTGTGTAATTAAATTCTAAGCACTCTTACCGTGCTATTATTTCCTTCCCCGTCAAGTGAGTAGGACCTCAGAAATCATATGAGTTCGAGTGGCCTGCTCTATTTGAACGAGAAGGTCAATACCGCAACAGTGATTTCTGGTTGAGAAGTAAATGTTTAATGTTTAAACAAGGTGGAGCTGAATTTAGGACTTACAACAAATATTAAACTATTAGCACCAAGTTCTGATACGCACAGCATGGCGGATTTCCTGACGCCGAGGAGAAATACTCAGAATGAACAGACCGAGCCAGCAATAGAAGGCAGTGCAATATTTGAAGGAAAAAAAAGTGCTGCATTCTACTATATAGGAAATCTGGGTTCTTTAAATGTCCATAAAATAAATACGCGGCATAAAGGTTGTAAACGTAAATTAAAATATAACGTAAATAATTATAAAGCAATGCAAGTTTCATAAATGTGATCGATCAGATACAAAAATAATAATACTAATGAATGATACACATACAGTTGTAAACAAATATGCTAATATATAAAATAAAATCTCATATTCGGCAAGTTAAAATTAATTTTCCTATTAACAACACAGGCCTCATCATCAGTATGTGTAAATATATTGCCGATACTAATTTAGTTAGAAAATATTGAAAAATGCAATCGAAGTCATCTGATAAAGGAACAAAAGAAACTAAATTTCAAAACATCAAGAGGACCAGAGCTTGCTTCTATAACTAATTGGAGTTCGGAATAAATAGCCTGTTTGAAATATAAATTATATTTAACTCAGGAATACGCTTACACCCTCGCGAGAATACCAACATAGTTCCGGTTCTATCGTCACAAGTTAAAATATGTTATTTTTACTTTCTTGTTTGCTCGTTAAATACACAGTATATGCATTTTCCTGTCTTCATGATTTTTAAAAGTAATTCTGTATTGAATCGCATCTTATAAGGACAATTATTCATTTATATCGCTTGTGTTATGAGGAAAGCGATGTAATGCCACGATTCAAAACCAATCTAAAAAGTAAAATCATAAACGTATTCAGATTTGAGGTAAGTCGCCTTCAGGTGAAATTTTACTATTCCAGGAAGACCCGTGTTTAATTCCCGACAAAAATAATAAAAGGTTTCCACTGAAACAATAATAAGCGTGTTAAATACATTTATTTTAATAAATGTTCGTATTTGGATGACCAAATATAGGAATTTTAAAGTTCATCATAACGTAGCAAGGTTTGCTTTAGCGTTATTTACACGTCGAATTCCGTTTAATAAGTATTATGAAAAAACATGAGCACTACGTCTATACACTGGGATACAAGGATGACCCAATGTTTTATAATCAGCGAAAGAAATGTTTTAAGTACGAGATTAACGTATTTCTCGCATTTTCTTATCAAAGGCAAAGCGCAGATCTTTCTATCTGTACTTCAGATTATGAAATAAATATCTAAAAAAAATTGGTATCAGCAAACGTATGAGAAAGAACAAGCAATTCTTCACCAAATCTGTGAAGACCGACAGTCTTCCTGTCAAATCTCGCGTTTGTAAATTTTTCGTTCTTCTCGGTCATTGTGTGTGATGTATTGAGTCGTAGGTAATCGACGCTACACCAACTTCAAAAGGTGTCTAGCATAAACTGGAGGATAAATTTCGACCAATGGAGGAAGATACGCCATAGCCTATGTAAAGTACTGTCGCAGCACTCCTCAGAGAAGATACCTCGTGATCTGGCAAGCAAATGCTCATTTCTTCCTCACTTACTCTGCGCGCAGTTTACATTGCCAGTCGCCTGTATTCCCTGGTCCATCCGGGATCTGGTCATGCATAGTGCGGATACGATCCGAGGTGTGAAGTCACGTGGCTCGGGTGGTGCGTCATCGAGTGGCTGGAGGCCGCCGCGATGTTGGAGTAGAGGTTGGCGCTCGGGTTTGTCCAGTAGGAAGTCGGCGAAGGAAAGATGCTGGCTGCAACGAGAAGAAAGCGACATGAAGGGACGATGGTGACTTGTAGGAAGGATACGAAGATATAAAGGAGTGGGAAGGAAGACAACACGAAAATAGGACGAAAAGAGGGACCAGGGAGAGAGAAATGAAGAAAGGGAGAAGAGGATGAGAAGGAGACGACGAAAAAGGTGAAAAGGAAAGAAAAAGAACAATTAGTGACACTTTACGTTCTCACGGCGGCGAGAAGGAAGATAAGTATCTTCTGGGATGTTGCGCCATGCAGTCGTACAAAATGTGCAGACGTTTCAGAGATGCTTGCTGCCATCATAACCACGGCGATGATCATCCTAAGTACCAACAACAACCTATTTTTGGCAATAACATATTTTAATATACTTTTTGTAACTGTGTTACCTTACTATTACTATGAATTTTCAGTAACACAAAGAGAAACAAATTAAAGGCAAACAGTCCTTTCAATTACGATATGTAATAAAATCTGTTTACTCATCTGTTTTCAAACTTCTGACAAATTTCTAAGTATCTGTATTACCCACCTAATAAAAACTGTAATGTTATGTTAACTTCCTGACTACCTGTGGAATTTAGATTTACGCATGTATGCAGTTTTTTTATTATCTCAGTAGCCATATTTGATTCTTTGAGGACCGCTACGAGGATCTGAATACAGAGACATGATTTCGAGGGATGTGGTATTTAAACATTTGTGCTTCTTCTAGCTACCTTCATCACATTCCGAGTCTTAAGACGGGAGCACTGAACGCTCTCGTGGCAAATTACAGCATCCTATTTTCGCAATTTTAAGAGTTTTAAGAACCCATTCACGGCGAAAGTGAATGGAAGACGTGACAGGGGTGCAGATGGGGTTGTGACATCTGAACACCGCACTGACTTCACTTCCTATCCAGCAACACTCGTGTGTAACTCGGTTAAGAACATTTAAAATGCAGTGATACACCGTGCGGAACCAAAACGTAACGTACACATACGTGAAATGTTACCACGTGTAGTTTGTATTGTGTATCTTGGTATGCGGGGTTCTTAATTAGATTTTGTTTCTCAGGTTGTTTAACAAGAAAGAAGATGACTGTCTGTCTTCTGGGACGCTGTAATCTTCAAACTTGTTGTCATTAGAAACCAAAATATCGAAGTTACAAATGTTTGGATTTACGAAGAAAATATATTTGTTCAATACTTGACATCAATCGGACACCATAAACCAATGGAAGCAACGTCAATGAAAACCTGCGCTAAAGTTAGGGCCCGTGGTCATAAACTTTTTAAAACATATGCAACATCCCTGAGTATTTTGATGAAAACATTTCGTGGTATACTTTATATCAAAAAATTACTACAATATAATTTTTATATACTGAGGTGATAAATGTTAGAGGGGCTAGACCTCCGACTCATTCCGAAGGGCCGCCCAAGGTGAATGTGGTATACACACTCTCGTCCTTCGTTTTTCGTAGTCAGACTTAAGAAGTTTAAAAAGTTTATTTAAAATAAACTGGGAAAAAAGTTTACATTGTCTGACAGCTTGGCAGGTAGAAGCAGCGGCGAGTAGTGTCTGGCACAAGACAAACAGAAAATAACGGAATAAATATATTCAAGAGTTCTCTTTACGAGATTATTTCTTAACTTTATTCGTGATTGATTCTGCAGCAAATGACGGCAGGAAACGCAGAAAACTCGGCGCTACAGAACAGCCACCTCTCCTTCCAGGAATTAACTGAGTTCTTTTTCTCTCTCCTGGGAACTCGATTATTCTGTGCCACTACGTCACGCTATGGCAGACAGACTTAGTTTCCTGTTATACTTTTTTACATTTAAAAGAAAGTTTGGAGGAGAGAAAAGAGTTTATTTTCACTTTTTGTTGTATCAGTAAAAAATGCGAAGCGCTATGCTTACACGAGTTCGTTGTGAATTCAATTATTTTTATCTGTAAGATTTTGGGTGGCTGTTTTTTGTTATTGTGGCAGTTCTGCGAGGGTGTGAGTGGGGGATATTGGTCGGGATATAATTAGAAAAGAGAGAAGTGGGTTTTAAGTCTGTAATGGAAAAATTTCAGAACCTAAGGAATAAAAATGAAATCCAGTTCTGCTAATGTAGGCCTACATTCAGCTCAACACACAATTCAGCCCTTCTCGATTGAAGTATAATTTCCTGTGGGAAAATTTTTAAAAGTGCCTACATTGACCGATAAAGCACACGCGCGCACACACACACACACACTGTTCTTATTCATCCCTGGCGACCTAAATACTCGGACAGCAGGTTGGAATCCCACTCATATTTCTGTATCACTCTGTCAATTTACAACCCGTCGCATCGGCTCATCCCCCATTCAAGGGTCATACCGTCTGTCCTAAGATCGAAGGATTCTGTCTAATCGTAGGAATCGAACCTTAGGATCAAGAATACGAAGAATTAATAATATTGTAACCCGATACTTCGGAATTTTTAAGCTGGGCGGAATGAATTGTTGGGCAGAATACTTTTATACGTATTGGGAGAGTGGGGAAAGAATCCGAACTCCGTATCAAAGACGTGTTGGAAGCAACTACTCCATTCAAATGCTTACTGAAGTTCAAGTGTCTCATATGTACAATATTACACTCATCGGAAATTGGTTATATAACCTTCTCCTTGCCTTGGGTCCTGGAAAATTTGGTGAACACCTTTGTTATGACTGGAGTACACATTTTCCAGATATGATATCTATACGCATTTACTTTTCACAAGCAGACCTGTAAATGCCATGCTGATAACTACACATAACAAGGAATGAAGTTGCAATACACTTAACCACCTATAAAGATGCGGAAGGTAGCAGTATGTTTACAGAGTGACGCGTAACAAAGTTACTTACACTGCTTAGGACAAATTAGATAATGTGGGCTAGAGGATTTGGAATAAATGTGTTATGGGATTATAAACACCAACAACTAATTTGAAAGAAAGTCAGGGTATTTGTTGCATAAATTCTCTATCATGTATACTCTGATTTAAAATTTACTGTAAAACATTCAACTTGTCATGTATTTTTTTATAGCGATGCACCTCTACCAAGGTTAAATCGGTAACAGGCCCAAGGCTCAGCGAATACTTCACTTAGCTTCAGTGCAATACGAAGGATACGTTAAATCCATTACCCAAAGCAACTAACCAATTTCAAATCCAATCTGTTTAGCCAGAAAATACATCATTCCCACAAAAGAAAGTCATAAAGTTTTATTTGAGGGTACAAGTATTATTCTGCCTATTATTTTTCTTATTATTCTTCAGAAACGAGATTGCGTTCGGACAAAGTGACCGCTGGAGTGACTGATGACCCCGACCCTATTTTATCTGTGTAGCCCCTCCCGTCAAAAATTGCGAACTATCGATTGACAGATGACTGTGCTGGCAGCTTAGCTCCCCCTCTACACACTTGGACGCTCAAATATACAACTGCGTGTGATTTTACAGTCACTTGAATGAGTAGTACAATAAACAGGGCGGGCGGAGATGTGCCTGCCTGCCTGCCAATACCAGGAATCGCCATGCATTTCAAAGACAGCTACTCGAGGAACACTTTCAAGAGCTCTGTAAATAGCTCTCTCTGGCATGACAATGCATACTAAACCGTCTGTCCCCCTTCTTCAGTGTCACAGATACAATTAACTGTATTCGTAAACCTCTGTATGAACTGCCACTGAATGTCATCAAATTTTGGCACTTCTAAACTTCGTATATTTCTGCAGTACACTATAATGGAAGGTATTGGGACAGACGGTTGGATAACAACAAAATAGGCTTTAAATAAAACATGGGGAGGGGGGGAATGCTGGCTGGATGCACCTGCTGTCCGTTGCTGGCTCTGGTGACCACGGAATGAATTTTCGGGTTAAATGTGATTTCGTGACCATCTGAGGGACTATCAACTGCTAAAGTAAGGTTCTTGATCCTACGCATTGTGACTGTTCTTTATTGTGCCTAAGCTTGTTAAGCAGCTACATTCAGATAACGTATGATAATATGCGAACAACGGGGTCTTTTCATGGCCTAGCTTAATGGGTACACGCGTTCATACACACAACGCACTTTGCGCGGCGACCATAAGATATAAATCCAAAAACTATTGCCCTTTTAGAGGAACAGCAGCAGGGGGAGGTTTGTATTGACCATAGAATTCTATAGCTAGCCTCCACACATTTTGACTGAGGGTTATGCACTGGAAAATACGTTGAGAGACATTTCAATGTTGGGCCTCAGAACAATGGCCAACTGGCTTCCATTACGTTCATATAACTCTGCAAGGGGTTGAAGATAACAAAAGAGGCCCGGGTTCACCGCTCAACCCCCTCCCTTAGTCTTGCGGCTCTTCTTATGGCAATTTGTTAGGCTATCTGCTATCGTCACTAATCCGGCAAAGAGGCAATGATTATAAATCTACGATACGCATACGTGTAAGTGAGAACAGAATACAGATCGGTAATTTAGCACCGCTCATCACTTCGCTCTTACACAACGCAGTGCTTAAAAGTGTAATTCCTTTGCAAAAAAATTTGGCGAAATTATATGACACTATAGAGCAGGCCTGTCAAATTCGTATACGCTCCTTGGCCACTTTTATAACCAGACCAAATCCTTAAGAAGGGTTTAATATGGTACTGAACATTTAATAACATACTGTAGTAATTGTGATTTAATTTACATTGAGTTTGTTATTTATATGGCTTAAAACATACTATCATCAATTTAACCATAACAGCACAACAAAATTTTGTGGTCTGCCAAGCCGATAAAAATCACACACGTAGAATTTCAGGTTTCTAAGTCCGAAGATGGCTGTCTTCTGCATTGTTACGCCGTGTAGTCTGGTAGAAGTTTACCAACGTTGCAGAGTTCCTTGTTGCCTACATCATCATCATCTCCTGGATCATGAAGACAGCCATCTTCAAGATCAAACACGTAGTTTGGTTCCGTCACTTGCGGACGGACGGGCATAACGAAACAAGCATATGTTTTCCTAATTTTGTTTTCGAACTGGACCAAAATTCGAAGGAATTTGTCATACACTGACATAACGTACATACCAATTTGTCCCAGAGTCGTAAGAGGACAAATGAATGATGAAACCAGAAGGTTATGTTTGCTACAATATAAGGAAGGTGTGATAACGTAAGTTACGATGTTTTAAAATATAATTTCTGCCAATATCTCCACAGCGACAGAATCGATTAAAGGAAAGGAAGTATCAAAAGAAGTATCCAGAACTCGGTTATTTACAAATGGAAATTCCAGCGCACATGCATGCGACTTTCACAAGCAAAATGTCGACAATTTCAGAAGACAAATCTGTACTTCCCCATTACAAGCAGGATATACAAAAAAGGCTCTAAAATCCCCAAGGACTGAACGTCTAATCGAATAACTTAAGATTCAGCACGCCTTTAAGCTACGTGAAAGCCATAATGCATTACTAACTCAGATGGTGGTTTGGCCCCTCTTGTCCTAAACGTACCAGTGCTATCGTGAAAGAAGCTACGATAGAAGCCGTTAAAAGATGGCGAAGAAGACAAGATAAGAAGGCGGCAGAATAGAAGACTAACGCGTTATTTGCTATGAGGACCCCAGGCTACGCATGTTTAGCGAACACGGGTTTATATTCTATTGATCCATGCAGCAACTGCTCGAAAGAAGTAGGAGCTAGATAACAACACTGCTCCGATTCCAAAGAAAACACACGAGTGCTCGTCATCCAGCCTTGGCTGCATAACCATTGAAACTTCGCGTAGTAAGTGCACGAAATAATTCCATAAAATCGAGTCATAGCTGTAAAGACCTAACTATTTTAATAAGTAGGATTATTCTAACCCATTCGAGTCCTACCTGTATACTAAATTATTCAGTTATTTCTTATTATGTTAGACAGGTTGTTAAGTTCCTTAGCTAGTTAATCTGCTACAAATTTAGCAACATTTTTATTTTTAATTAATTGGCTAGTAGCACACAGTTATGGAAATGAGAAATGAATACAACATTTTGAATTGGAAGCCTGTAGGAAAGAGGTCGAGAGTTGGGCTCTAGTGATTACAAGTATGACCCATCGGATTACGAAATTTCTTGAGCAACTGAGAAAGGCCACTGACCTGATGATGACGGGATACCGGCGTGTGGACTCATGAAGTTCAGCTTGGTCGAATGGTGGTAACTGGACATGAACAGGTCGGACTTTCCTTGTTGCCTACATCATCATCATCTCCTGGATCATGAAGACAGCCATCTTCAAGATCAAACACGTAGTTTGGTTCCGTCACTTGCGGACGGACGGGCATAACGAAACAAGCATATGTTTTCCTAATTTTGTTTTCGAACTGGACCAAAATTCGAAGGAATTTGTCATACACTGACATAACGTACATACCAATTTGTCCCAGAGTCGTAAGAGGACAAATGAATGATGAAACCAGAAGGTTATGTTTGCTACAATATAAGGAAGGTGTGATAACGTAAGTTACGATGTTTTAAAATATAATTTCTGCCAATATCTCCACAGCGACAGAATCGATTAAAGGAAAGGAAGTATCAAAAGAAGTATCCAGAACTCGGTTATTTACAAATGGAAATTCCAGCGCACATGCATGCGACTTTCACAAGCAAAATGTCGACAATTTCAGAAGACAAATCTGTACTTCCCCATTACAAGCAGGATATACAAAAAAGGCTCTAAAATCCCCAAGGACTGAACGTCTAATCGAATAACTTAAGATTCAGCACGCCTTTAAGCTACGTGAAAGCCATAATGCATTACTAACTCAGATGGTGGTTTGGCCCCTCTTGTCCTAAACGTACCAGTGCTATCGTGAAAGAAGCTACGATAGAAGCCGTTAAAAGATGGCGAAGAAGACAAGATAAGAAGGCGGCAGAATAGAAGACTAACGCGTTATTTGCTATGAGGACCCCAGGCTACGCATGTTTAGCGAACACGGGTTTATATTCTATTGATCCATGCAGCAACTGCTCGAAAGAAGTAGGAGCTAGATAACAACACTGCTCCGATTCCAAAGAAAACACACGAGTGCTCGTCATCCAGCCTTGGCTGCATAACCATTGAAACTTCGCGTAGTAAGTGCACGAAATAATTCCATAAAATCGAGTCATAGCTGTAAAGACCTAACTATTTTAATAAGTAGGATTATTCTAACCCATTCGAGTCCTACCTGTATACTAAATTATTCAGTTATTTCTTATTATGTTAGACAGGTTGTTAAGTTCCTTAGCTAGTTAATCTGCTACAAATTTAGCAACATTTTTATTTTTAATTAATTGGCTAGTAGCACACAGTTATGGAAATGAGAAATGAATACAACATTTTGAATTGGAAGCCTGTAGGAAAGAGGTCGAGAGTTGGGCTCTAGTGATTACAAGTATGACCCATCGGATTACGAAATTTCTTGAGCAACTGAGAAAGGCCACTGACCTGATGATGACGGGATACCGGCGTGTGGACTCATGAAGTTCAGCTTGGTCGAATGGTGGTAACTGGACATGAACAGGTCGGACTGGTACTTGTAGGCCGCCGGGTCCGCTGTGGCGGGCTGCGTCGCCGCTGCCAGCCCCTGGAAGTCGAACTTGTATGCATACCGCTTCCCGTGCACCTTGGTCATGATATTCTTGTCGTAGTAGTACCTGCACACAGGCGGCGGTCACCAGTTTTAATCAAACACGATTCATCGCACGAAAAGCTGGTACACGATATAAGGCACTTCCAACAGCGCCCGTCAATCGTCCTCCGGTTTCTTTAAATAAATTGTACTAAATAACAGAACTGCTAACTTATGATGACAATCTTATGAATAGGCCGACACAAAATACTCCAGATTACTAACTTTCAGTTACTTACAGACTTGACGTCATGTAGTGATCACAATATGAGTTAAGTGTTTGTCAAACAACGAAGAATCGATAGAAAAAGGTTGATTTCGAACCGTCAAAACTGTTATGGTCGACTAGAAATAATAGCAAAGGTGAAGATAAGAATAAAATTGGACGGAGGTACTTTATATATAGTATAAAACAGATCTAATTGAATTTACCATCTACTGGATACATTTTTCGATATGGTGATATTTAACAAAATATAGGCTAAATAAAAACTGAGTACACCTCCTACTCAACATCAGATATTCCCCTACACGTTAGCAATTTTAGGGCGTATTTCTGCTACAAGATATAAGAACAACATGGAGAAAAAGCAAGAAATGTTAACATGCCTGTTATATACAATTCATAAGATGTTCACTCAGGGCTTACTTCAATCTCACGGACGTACATAATTCAAGACGAAAGATTACTTAATTCATAATTTTCATTCAATTACCTTTCTCAACATTATATTTGGATTACAGTAAATTATCGGTAAGGCTATATACAACATCGCAAGTGATAATTTGGAAACTTCACATATTGATAATAGGGATATTCTTCGAGACGTCGGAATCGTTGTCACACTACGAATACCAGCTTAAATCTGAACACAAAATTCCATACAGGGTAAATTTTAAAAACCATCTAAAAATGTAATATTGATTTTATTGCAAATAAGTTGAATAAGCAGTCGAAGACAGCTGAATCTGTACACAGTTAAACATGTCTTGTCGGCTTCACCTTTCTTACGAATGTAGCCTCAGGCATTTCAGGTTAGGGGAATTCCTTTCCAAATGAATTGTTACACAGTCGCCATCCACTCTACGTATTAATCAATCAATTACAAACATGGACGGCACATATCGATCTATTCCTTAAAGCTCTTCTTCTTCAGCTTTCACGAATTAGGCCTTATGCTCTGTACAAGTTCAGAAATCTTTCTGAAATTATGAACTGTCAGACATTTTGTAGGAATTCTTAGTTGGATGTTCAGCCCATCGCAGGTCCATGCAGCACAACACAGAAGAACACGGTCAAATATCCGTGCCTTAATAATCAACTTATTAATATATTGTTTGTTAACACGTATGGTTAAGAACACGCACAAGATATTCTGAATGTAAGCCCCAAGCGAATACACTACTTAAAACATCTAAATACAGGTGGGAGAATAATATCAGAATCCACCCTCTAAAGGATACATGAGGATGGGAACTAGATTTAGCTGGCTCAAGGATGGATCGGACAGCGGTAACTAATCACAGTGACACAACTCAAGCGCGCAATTCATGACCAGCTGAACAACTACAAACATTTAAAGTAAAGCCTGTATCACGGAGAAAATTGTGATAGTCATGTCTTTCTGCAGTCTCACAACGCTTCGAAACGTTTTCATTATAGCAATAAACACAACATATAAAAGGGGCAAGTTTCAGAATAGACTTCAGGATCTTTCCTACGTCCAATATAATCGTCATCATTGTTTTAGAATTGTTTTCAAAATACGTGAAACAGGACTGAATAAAACAGCAAGTACACAAAGATGTATCAACGCACGCATAGAAAGATACTAATCTGCTGAAATATCAGCCCAGCGCTCTTCATTCTTTTTTCGATTGAGAGTGAACAGTTTTATGTTACATTAATTCCTTTCCGGATATCCGCAGTCAATGCCAATCACACACACACACACACGTGTTGCGCGCCCTCATTATCTGTTCATCATTTTCCCTGCCAGTGTACACTGCACGAGTATTTAATTGAACAAGATCCGCTCTGTACACCTGTACCCTCTTTTTTTCATTCGAATAGAATCATTAAAATTTAGATTAAAACAGAAAGCGAACAGTTCTATCACTGCAACTGTGGTCAGTCAGTCGTTTTACACCATTATGACGCTTACAATTTGTCCTCCGATCTATAGGCCAAGGATGGCCAAATTCTGAACTCCATTAATTCCTCTATCAACTTTCGATCAAACACGTAAACTCTGAGATGACAGTCACAAATAAATAAGCAATGCAATTGTTTCGATGCTGTTTATTTTACAAAAATCTCGGACTAATTACGACAGTTTAGCTGGTAACATAGGTCCAATACACGCGATAACACAGACACGCACACATACACACAATCACACTCGGTGTGTGACATTTTTTTTATTTAGTGTTCTGTCTGACGACAGGTCCATATGAACATGATCCTTCCATCCTTTTCTCGGACTGGGACCTGTTCATATACGTTCTTGGCAGATGATCCAGAAGTGGTTTGCCATTGCCTTCTTCTGTGTGTGAATGGAGTAATTGTTGGGATGCCACAGAGAAACCGGGGAAGCCCCCGGAGGAAAACTCCGTGTTGCCTAGACCACGGCCTTGCCCAACACAAGTTATAAATTCGGGCACCGCCGGGAATCGAACCCGAGACCCCAGGATTACAAGGCCAACGTTGTAACCGCTAGACCATACATACATACATATATACCGACATACCGATTCGAAAATGAACTCTGGAAAGTGAAAACTTAATACTCATAATAAGCGTATTTTCGAGTATCTACAACCTGCAACACATGTTTTAGGGTCTAAGGACAGAGACCTTTGAGAATCCTTCCAAGAACCTCCCTACTACGAAACCGATAATCATGTCTCGAACAACGGGGGGGTGGAGTGGGGCATATAATCGACGCCAGTCCCTATGAAGAGACGGGGAAGCAAAATCAAGAGCTAACTAGCACAAATCAAGTGGACCAAGCAGGGGTCGGCATTTCGTTAGTGACACCCTCTCCACTGACCTCATACACGATGTGATGATGAAGGGAGGAGATACAATCAAGATACGAAATTCATTTTTTATTCCAGAGTGGAAATTGCAACAGGGGACACTAGCGTCGCCCACTGCTATAAGTGACTTGTTATTTTATTGTCATTGTGTAAAATGGAAATTTTCTTTGAGTATTACTTGCCAATAAGAAGTAACTCGTTTCAAACGGTTCGGATCATAAGTTATTTAACGACGACATTTCATCTGAAAGTTATTTAGCGTCGAGTAAAAAAAATTGTCATGTAGGATGAACGGGAAAGATTTGGCGAAGAAACCCTAACAGGGACGATGTAAGAAATTACTGTAGAAAACAGATAATTTGTACTTTTGCTCTAAAACTGTTGTATTAAGTCAATAATTATGGGACAAGAGGGGGATTATATGTAGGCTATAGAACGTCCTGGTTTCAAAATCTCAAGCGAAGAGATAGTTGGAGGGCCTGGGTACAGATAAAAGATAATAGTAAGTAAACGTTTGTTAGACAGGGTGTGATAGTGCGGACTGAATTAAAACGTAGATGGCTGTCTTCTGAAATGTTGCGACGCACGGAGAAGCCACTGGGAGCTTACACCCAATTTATCGCGATAAGAACGCTGATCGTGGCAAACCCGAGTCGCCCAGGACTGAACACGAAACCTTCTAATTACGAAATGCGTGTTCTTTGTACCGAGCATTTGATGAGCAGAGTGCAGCTTGTCTCCCTGAACCTCCGACGTTCACAATTCATGACATACGTCTGCCACTCGTTCACGATCATACTTGTGACGTCATAACATAATTGTTAATTACTAATGTTTCTCATCTCATCTCAGTGTAGCGGCGGGCATGTATTCTTTCTACTTGGTAGATCCCCTGAATGCGGCGAGTATGAAGATGTCTGTTTTCTGGGTTCTAGAGCCCAGTAGTGCGGTGGAAGTCTAGCAATATCTCAAAGGTTTCAAAGTGATCGCACTGATGCAACAAGCTCCAAACACATTGTGTATTCACTTAAGCCTTTCTTACTGAGTATCAAATATACATTTAATTATTTGTAATTTATTCAACGACGCTATAAGTAGCTTACACTTAGTAACGTGGAATTATATCACGATTAATGAACGACGAGTTGTAGAAGGATGAAGTCGTGGCCTAATTTACGTTACTGCATCAGCATTTTCCTGGAGGAATTGAGGAAAACCACCAAATATTTGTCAGGATATTCAGTCTTCGGGTCCAGATTTGAACCAGAGACCTTCCGTATAGCACGAAGAAGTACTATCAACTCGACAACGAGTTCGATCCAAGGATACGGACTTCAATTGCTAAATTGATACAGCGTATCTATCGGACCTACTTCTAAACTCAGTCCTACTCCAGAAGTACAGAACAGGATCGATTCTCGTCTGATGTTTTGGACGGATTTTGCATTGTGCTGGTGACGATCATGGATTAATGGGGGTGTGAGGAGGTGTGAGGGTGTGCGAATTGAATTATCGGGGGTTGAACCACCGCTAATAGACAATCTGCACCAATCACAGTCTGTTCAAGCACCCAGCGTTCTCAACAGCTAGCTTCCTCTACAAAATGAATAGCTACAAACGGCCCTGTCTCGCTCTTCCCTCATTTTTCCCTTTCCTGAATGAAATAAACTGTTAATTCATGTAATTTTGACATCCTATTAGAGCAATTTATAAACTGGTGTTACTCTCGTCTGTTATGTCTGGCTTAAAACTGCATTTTTGTATCTGTCCTTTATTACGATTCTCTGCAGACAGAGATACTTGCTGTTCTTTTTTAAATTATCTTTTAATGCTTATTAATGAAAACGGATTTCACTTTCTCCTTTCAGTACTTTTCAAACTTCATTACGTTTCGATCACTAACTCGTCCTGAAAATATCCTTTACACAGGAAAAGCCTCAATTTGAGGAAGATTCATGTACACAAAATGTTTTCTGGTTTAAATCAGATTTTTTAATGAAAGGCCAAAAGTTTAATGGCTTCAAACGACTGTAGTAACAGTAGCACTCTGTTCTTAAGTATTAACACTTTACTTTCTTCATTTAAAGCAGGAAACCACTTTTACAGTTTATAATATATTTTTAATGTTGAACGGTAAGGTTTCTCAGAACTATAATACTCTACATCGTCTCTTTCTTCATACCGATATTTAGTTCCTCTGTATTAGTTCTTCTGTGTTACTTTGTTTCAAGTCAATTTCTACCAAGGTTGCACACGTTCTAAAAAAAAAATTAAAATACAAACAGTGCTGACAACTTCGATACAGTTGTGCGATCGTTTGTGCAAATTGGTTCCTACTCCACCCAGCTAAGCGCGCACAATACAGTGCTATAAATAGAACCCTGAGGTGTTCTACTTACGAAAAATTCGAGCAGCGGGAATATCTTGGGTGAGCGATTTGTCATAAAAGATCGATAACGAAAGGTCAGGGAACAGGCGCGATCCTCGGAAGATACGAAACATGCGATGCAACAATCAAATCTTATTACGAAATTAAAATGGGACGCATATTTCATTTGTTTTTTGTTCAGGGAAAGGAACTACACACTATGCCTTGTAACGAAAAGCAATGTCCTCGGGGGACAACTTATTACTGGGGAATACTTGATACCATTGTGGTCTAGAAGCCTTCGGGACAGTAGATATTTTCCGTATATGTGAGTTTATGTTATACTTAGGACCCATTACTAAGGTTTGATGAACAAATTGTAATCACCATTCAGTTAAAATTATAATAATCTTTGCGTCCTCTTCAAAAGCGTAAAATAAAAATATACCGAACAAATGTATTATATTGTTTTATATGTACGTGAAACTTGGACTGTCATAGACTAAGCTCACTGTAGCTAGAAACACAATACTAAGCATGCATACTGCTATCTAACTGACGTCATCCATGTTTCTAGTTGTAATCAGTCCAGTACACTACAGAATAAGATAGACTGAGAATATTCGAAAACAAAGTGTCAAGATGATATATAAAAAGAAATAAATTGTCATTCCATAAAGGACAGTGTTGGTATTCATGTACCTACAAGGCAAACAAGAGAATTTTCCATCTCCAAGTGAGCAGTGCTGTAATTAGGCGAGCCATTGCTACAATCGACATATGCAGATTTTTGAACATTTTTCACAGAAATGATTTTTTCTTTTCTTTATGCTAAAACGCATTGAAACTCTTAGAACTGTGTTAAAATTAGTTATTTGTTTTAATTTAGTTTCGTGTTAATTTGTGCTTGATAATACATATATTTATTAATGTTTGCCTGTCATAGGCTCTGCTGTTGGCAAACACTTTAATAATGAGACTGAACCTAGTCGTTATTACAGTCACTGCTGAGATAACCCGTTAATGTTACTCTTGTGTTTGCGTGGGGGAAGGAAGAAGCAGGAACGTGTTCCGTGTCTGGGTGTTGGCGGCCTGGGAGGGATCAGTGGGGAAGAGACAGAACCGGAGACGACAGCTTCCTGGTCGGTTTCCTAATAGATTCCGGGTCGAACCTAGACGTCTCTCGGGAGGGGCAGTGAAACAAGTTCAACACGGCAGGACCCAGCGCTAAGGCGACCTCAGTGCAACCTGAACATGCAATCCTGCGAGCTTCATCTAAGAAACTACTCAACAAATTTCGATTAAATTTGGTTTCATGGTCTTGGCCGAAAATTGTTGTGTTAGTTTAATTTTAAACCTAACAGAATTCCTGCTTTACACGAAGATGAAATGAAACTTGTATATGTTTCACCGAAACGGCACATCATAAAACGTACTGGTGTATAAGACATACATTATTAAAATCTTTAAATTTTCAGTTATACCAATACTCTGAATGGTTAATATTTTAAAGGCATGCATGGTAAAATAGTTATGGCTCTGTGCAGTGTGACACGCTATCCATAACGCGGTTACCTTGACAAGATCTGTATCAGAAAACCAAGAACATCAAACCCAATTAGTTATAAAAAGTCATAAAACACATTTAGAAAATGTTACCTCAGAACTTCCCCAGTATTAACCAGTTAGAATATCGATCGTCCTTAACATATGAAATTTGTAGCTACACTGTTTCATATATATTGCAATGCAGAAAGTATGAACTTTGAACAGTAAAATAATTTACTATTTGGTCACGAAATTATAACCATCTAGTTTCTTGTTTAATATCCAGATATTCGTTTTAATCTACTCTGTCACATAAAACTCTTTACCAAGTTATGTCAGCTACACAATGACCTTCTCATATCGTAATTGCAAAAGGCTATAAAGAAATTGTTAATATACTACACGAAACAAATGCACTTTAATGTCATCTACGTTTTACTGTCTGAGCAGACACAATTTCATTCAGTCTGTTCAGCAAAAAATTTGCAAAATATTATTGTGTGTAGCATATTGATATTTATGGAGCTGCCATTTTCTCTCAAATTAAACTATCGAAAGTGCTCGATATCCGCCCAGGTATTTCCTAAAGTAATCTGTACTGACATAATTAAATTGTTTATCTATTGTAAATAACTCATTAATATATACTTATGTTAACTAATTCTCTTTTGTTCACTGCTATGGTGGTGCACAGTAATCGTTTTATGATATTAATAAACAGTTAACCAAACATTTGACAGCGACAATCGCAGCATGAAATGTTGGATATTTTAAGTAATCGCCGTGCAGCATCGACCACTTCTCCGACGTATGTATGAGGCGTTTGGCCTAGCGCAGGGTAGCAGGGGCCGCTTTCAGACTGCTGCAGGAAGGCTACTGATTTCTTTGCGCAACTTGCAAAATTCAACGCACAAGAAGTCATATCAGTTTGCATATTTCATATCCCAAACTGGGCCTGCACCAAGTTTCCAGAGCAAAATTAATTTGGCGTGTATCTGTGAAATATAAACACCACTTTGCATGAGGCTCAAATCGAATTTCATTTTTTTTTCTTTTTGGGTAGGGTACATAGCGAATTTTTTTTTCAGTAATTGTTGATATGGTATTTAACAGAATGTAAGGAGAACTGTTTCTTACTCTAAACAGCGTGAATGTCCTTAAATATTTCATTCGTTTCTGCAAAATAAGGCGCATGCTGTACTGTAGTTATATTTATTTTTCCGTTCATCTGTATAACAAGAGTCAGAGGTTCCATACATATGCCTTACAGCATATATCAAAAAGTGCTGTGGAAAGCCTTTTTATTTCCCACAGGTTATTTTAATTTCTCCTGTCGAAGGTGTCCGACAGGAGGTCTTCCCGTCATTAATAACGGCAAAATCTAAAGTAGACAGTCACAAATATTACATAATAAGGCACGAAATCCCTAAACAGCATTATTATCATGACAGCGGTACAACAGGCACATACATAAATATTATTCAAGAGCTAAAAATCCTTTAACAGCAAACGATCAACAACCAACTCAGCTACCAACACTTGCTTCTCATATAGACATTTATTAAACTTTTAGGGTATATTATTTTATAACTGTGTTCTTCCCCAGATATTATTATGATAACAAAATCAAGATGGAAGCTGATAAGGCAGGGTATGTAGAGCGCTTGATGCAGATGAGAAATGCATACAATAGTTGGCTTGGAAGCCTGAAGGGCAGAAACCATTAGGCGTAGATGGAAGAATAATATTAAAATTTACCTTCAGGAAATAGGGCGGGGGTGAGTTAGATTAATTTGACTCAGGACAGGTGCGGGTATCGTGTTATTGTTTATATTCGTGTTCCATAAAAAGGAAATTTCTTGACTAACTGAGCGTACTAGCAGCTTCTCAACAAGTACTCTGTCTGCTCAATGGAGTTAGGTAGATAGTTATTCTCTGTCATCTTACATAATTCAAATAAAAAAATATACGAAATTTTCTAGTATTATAACCCGGTTGTTAGCAGCAGTCGGTCATACAGGTTAATATTTTATGTTTACAAGTAACACTGTTAGTGGTACTGAAGATAAAAGTAACTGTCCCTGGGGCTTATCTGAGCTCCACGTCATGTTGACGAATGGGAAATTGGAGGTATATCTCCACGCATTCTTAAACCTCGGCACTGGATGAAACTAAATTTAAAACAGACAGCAAGTTCTTGGGTTACCTTCAATGGTTTTAAAAATGTATACTCACCTGAGCGCTCTGCTCAGCTTGTCATAGTTCATATTCGGTTTGGATTTGCGCTCGCCCCAGCGCCGGGCCACCTCGTCGGGATCCGTCAGCTTGAACTCCCCGTTCGTCCCCTCCCACGTGATGCAGTTGGCGTTCGACGAGTCGGACAACAGCTCCAGCAAGAACTGCCATAGCTGGATCTGTCCTGAGCCTGCAACAAACACCATGTAACACCACTGTGCCAACTCAGATTACTGGCAACCACGGCTTCACAACCCCGAACACCACAATTCGTAAGAAAGTAAGAATTTTACAAGTCAGTTACGAGAATCGAATATTGGTTGGCACGCCGTGGTCACTTACATAAATTAAACTTAAATAAGCCAATAAAACTCGCTGAGCGATAAGATTAGTTTCGTGTTCCACTTGAATACGCCAACAAAACACTGTAAAACTTGGTGCACTGAGCGGAGACGATATCATTTCAGGAACTACTGCACCAGTTTCAGAGTAGTTCATTTCCATGTACCATTGAAGTTTCTTGTTACGTGAACACAACGAAAAGTCATAGTAGGCCGAAAAGTTTACTGCAATACGACAATTCGAATTTTACTGAGTATTACGTTTCAAGTGCTTCTGACCTAGATGCATATTGTTTGGAGAAATTTCAAAGGCATGATCTCCCAGATATTCTCAAACTTGGGTCAAACTTTTATGACTGGCGAGGTAAAATAGTTGAAATTAAAGGATGAAACAGCTTCGCAATTTCCATTACCAACCACGTAAATAGTTAGGCATTTGGCTATACAGGTGTTGTAAAAGGCTTAGTCACTTATTTGATTAAGAATATAGGTATATTTAAGTAAGATTTGAGGTCTAAACGAGGATTTAAAATGTGTTGTAAAGCATATGTAAGTAAGCGGTGGTATAATCACAGAAACTCATAGTTAGGTTTGTCTGTCCGTCGACCAACATTCAAACCTGATACCTCCTAATAAAATTCAGACGCAGCGCAGTCGGTATAGTGACTGGCTACAAACTGGGCGACCGGGGTTCGATCCCCGACGGGGGCAGAGGATATTTCCTCTAGCCTCTGCGTCTAGACCGGCTCTGAGGCCCACCCAGCCTCCTATCCAATGGGTACCGGGGTCCTTTCCCGGGGGTAAAGCCGGCCGGGGCGTGATGCTGACCACTCACCCCCATCTAGAGACGAGGTCAAGAATGAGTAGGAGCTATACCTCCACTCCCCCCAAGCGTCTACATGGCGTATAGTGGGACAGCTTTACTTTACTTTTTTTTACCACTGAACCACCTGTATGAAAATTTCACATGTGAAGTTTAGTTACCGCTATCGTAATAAAAATTTTCACTCGACCGTTACGTTGTTATTTTACGTTTAATTAAATGCCCATCACAATTTGAAGTCAGATGGAGCCAGTTTTGTCGGTCAACCGCCATGTTGGCACTTCTGAAGACACAATAAAGTGGAGAAAGACACCTAGTGCAAAATTTTCATAGAGCGTTCAACAATAATATGTAAATAAATTGTTTATAATATTGATATCCATAATGGACACAAGAAACGAGAGACGAGCTGATAAGCACAACTCGATAACAGAGTTCTAAGACCGAAACTTCAGTGTTTTAAAGACGATTTTCGTCTTGCGCATCAGAACGGGTTGCTGTATCTTAACAAGAAAAAGTGGTAGTGGAACCACGGTTCCGGAGAATTCGACGTAAATACGTCTATACGGAAAGGAAGTTTATATATTGGCTTTATTCTAAATATTTCCTTTATACATGCTTTACAATTGAGATAAATTTGATTAAGACATTGCTTAATCAACTTGAATT